CAGATTTTATAGCAAATTCAAAAAGAATGACTTGAATATAAAATAGGTCTGTGGCTCCTCCTGACCAGAAGAGTATTTTGTATGATAAAAAGTTCCCCTAGATTTTAGAGATCACTAATATAAAATTACTTGTCTCCAGCTCTTCTTTGTAGTCAATAACGAGCCAATTAAAACTGAATAATTCTTCTTTTAATACTCTAATATTCAAACATATAACTTCGTTAAAACATAGAGAAATTCTTATTAGTAGCAAGTTAATGGCATGGAGAACAAACCAAATGAAAATTCTTTATTTCTTCTCCACTGAATCTCAATGTGATCGCCAGGAAGTAAATCATGCAAGCAATCAGAGATATATAGATCATGCAGAGAGGTATGAACAGATGGCGCTCTAAGCCTTTCCCATGGCACACCACTCTTTATGGAAATTGCTCTCCTTCCATGTGGTGGGTACCTGAAATAGACAAAACATATAAAATTCAATCCACTAGATATACTTACCCTATCAGTATTCCTTTTGCCATTCATTACTTTTATATCAACATCTTTTACAGAAAAAGCTAATTTAAGAATCAACAACGCCCTATGGATTGTAGCTATGATGTCCATAAGTAAAAAAATCTATTGGGAATCATGGCCAAGAAGAAAATTATTTCGATCACCTGGCTTGAAATGTATCCGTCTGGAGATCATAGTTAAGTTCAGCGTCATAGCATGATAACATGAATCCAACGTGCCCGTTCTGGAATACAACACAAGAATTTTTACTACCAGGGATGAAAATTCATAAAGCCTAACACATCAATCCTTATGAGGCTACTGAGTTAAGAGCACAATTATAGATTTTGTAGCCTTGAGGAAAAAAGAATTATACAATTTTTAAGTAAAATTAAAGCTAATTAATTAATGGAAATAAAAAAGAATACGATCATGATTAATACCTCACGGTTAAAGACTTGAGTAGGGAACCAGAACTTGCCAGTCTCAAGAGCAAGGTACCAGGACATGATTGAATTAAAAGGCAAAGAACTCCTCTGCCTGCTATTGTTAACAGGATTGACCTTAGATGTACTCCATGAAGAAGGCTAAAAAATAGACAGAAACCTCATAAACCCTTTTGGCTTGCCTTGTTTGCAACTCCCGAGATCCTTTCTCGAAGCTAAATGCCATTGCCCTTCCCTATCAGTAGTAGTGTCAATAACCCTGCCCCATTTATACTTCATATGCTTTTCCCATAAATGATCACTCACACACCTTTCCCTCAAAGAAGTACAGACACCTGCCATGCTGTAGAGCCCAGTAGGAGGTAACCTCTCAAGAACACATTCCAAGGCTAATTCAGGCAAGTCCAAAACAGACATCCCTCCAGTCTCATCATCAAGAGCGCTTTTTTCTGCTCTTGCACTTGAACTTAGACTCATCTTCTTAATTGATGTTTTTAAAAGGAATTATATTGATATAAAAAACTTTCAAAAGGGTATTCCTTAATGAACCTAAATAAGAGAAGAGAAGCAAGTCCTTCAAGAACCAGAATGACAGCAATCTTATTTCACTTGCCCATGGAAGCAAAGGCTTGAGGGAGAAGGGCTTTAAAAATAGGATGAAGGAGAAACAAGTGATCAAGAAGTAAAGTAGCATTAGAGATAAAAGAGCAATCTTATTTCACTTGCCCATGGAAGCAAAGGCTTGAGGGAGAAGGGCTTTAAAAATAGGATGAAGGAGAAACAAGTGATCAAGAAGTAAAGTAGCATTAGAGATAAAAGGTATTGTATTGCGGGTCAAACTCAAGTTTGGCATAAATTGTTAAATAAAGTAGTAGAAGATCAATAGAAGAACCAATAATGGGAAAAAGGCGATGGTAAATAAAATAGAGAAAGGGGAAATTAAAGGAAACCCATTTGTGTCTTCTCTTCTCCTTCCTCCTCCAACAACAATACTCGCATTAAAAAAACAAAACAAGATTGATATTAACAAAATAGGATCTTCCAAAAAGGAATAATCTTTTTTATATATATAAAATGGGGTTTTATTGGTATAGAGAAAGCCCACCAAACCCACCAGTAGGCCTCCTCCTTCATAAAAGTCTAAATTAGATAAAAAAAAAAATGAAAGCTTTCTTCTATCCATAAACACCCCAAAGAATAGACTTTCACCTGTGTGAGATGTCAATTGTCATATAAACCAATTCAAGAATCCAAAATGAAATTGTGGAATCCTCAACTCTTATCTCCTTTACGAACACCAGTGCACCATAATATGCTAGTTAGTACAGACAGCTTAAACAACTGTCAATAAAAAAAAAGATGAAATGGGGGTTGTATTAGATGAACCTAAGAGTAGAACTAATGAAGGTGGTAGGGTATTCAGATCTGATATAGGCCTCTGACACATGGAGATCCCAATAAGAATATAAACTTGAAAAAAAAAAACAAAAACAAACTATTACCAGAGCAGGATAAGAAAGGCTAGATACAGCGACCTATATCTCCCTAAAGATCTGAAATCTGGTGAGTAGAAACACGAAAGAAATGAGCTTTAAGCTTTAAAAACAACAAGAAGTCATGAGATATAGATCTGGTTAGTTGAGATAGAACCATAATTAGGTGCACCCAACAAGCTACCCAGACCTATTTAAAATCGAAGAACCAAAGACACAAGAAACGCTAGTAGAAAATAGAAAGATGAGAAAAAGGTGTAGAAGGAGAGAATTTATTGAAAAAGATGATTGATAAAAAATGTAAGGTCCCCTTTATTCACCATAATCCATCATTTTCTTTCATCAAACTCTCCTCCACCTCCCCTTTCAAAACCTCTCTCTCTCTCTTCCTTATATAGCAAAGTACTAGCAATGGATAGTATTTATGTGATTGCTATATGTTCTTTCTTTCTTTTTTTGAACATGGAAAAAAATAAAGATGGAGGGAAATTTACGTGACCAAGAAAAGGAAACTGTTAGGATAGCATGAATCAGAATCTCAAATATGCAATTAGTGGTTCAATAGGTTTGTGGTTTTCATTATGCAAGCGAGCAAGACTTCTTAACATCTGCCCCGTAGGTCAAGGATTTTTTTTTTTAATTAGCACAGTAAATGTAAGATAAATTTAACAAAATAATTTTTTTATATATATTCTCTTGCTTCTAAACTATAATATTTAGTAAATATAACATTTCAGATTAATTAAAACTTAAAATTGTGTCCAAAAAACACAATATTATAATTAACATCACAATTAACAAAAACGATATTTAGATAAATAATGCTACTCTAAAATATGACAAAGATTTGTTTATTTTATTATTATTTTTTAAAATAAAATTTAAAGTTAGCATTTAGAGAATTTTATTAAACCAATATATAAGAAATGGGATTTAATCATTATTGATTGATTTAAAAATATATCTTATTGTCCGGAAAAAAAATGATAAATCTCAAAATTAGAGAATTTGTTTAAATCTCCTCTGGCATCCTACATTCCACGACATATTTATAGTTACATTACTATTTATGCATCTCTTGCACTTATATTAATTGCCAACCATGGTTAGCACCAACATTCTGAAACAATAGCTCAGGTAAGTTTAGTGGCTCACATCAACGACGCTTGCGTTTTTTTTTAAAAAAATTATTTTAAATGAGATATTATTTTTAAAAAATAGATAACATGTTTTTTAGAATTTTTTTCATTAACTTTTAGGTAATATTAAAATATGAACAAACTATCATCACTTCTTTTATTGATTGGAACTCATGTACAACATTATAAAAAATCCCCCAACGTGAGATCAACTCTTTGAACATTCTGTATTAGAATTTGCTTTTTTTAATTTGGTGTTCCTCCCATTGTTTTAACATCTGAAACCCTTCAGCTTCAATTTGACTCGAGAAGAGAAGGCCGCTATATATAAAATTGCATGCGAGAATGAGGATTTTCAAATGCAATAACTGAATGATTTGAGACGATGTGAAAGCAATCTTACTACACAACAACGAATATCCCCAGCTATATTTATTATCCAAATTAAAAATCCACAAAATACTCCAAAACCATTATGAATCAACTATCTTGGAATTACAAAATGTCATGGAAATCTCATTTCTTGGAATTTACAATTATAAGCCCGTTGTGTTTCAATGAAAATTGGTTAAAATTTAAATATTTTTATTTAAAATTAATTTATTATGTTTTTAAATCACTTTATTATTATGATATAAAAAAATAATTTTTTAAAAATAAAAAATATTATTTTAATACATTTATAAATAAAAAACATTTTAAAATACAATCAATACCATACTTTCAAATACAATATAATAATATCTAAACAATACAGGAACATGGGTTAATAGGTGGCCGTTAATAAACGTATTTTATTGATGAATCCTAGGGAATTTCTTAATTATGATGGTGGGTAAGATACCAAGATCAAGATGACCACTAGAGCATGGTTCAGGACAAAAAAAGAGATTTATTTCTAACAAATTGATCTTTGAGTGGGGGTTTATGATGATGACACATTAATAATTTGGATCCATAATGGAGAACAGATGAGATAAACTTGATGCTTAAAGCACGGAGCTTGTCTACCAGTTCATCTCAGGTCTTTTTCAGCTGAGCTGCAAGTGTGTATCCTTTCTCTATCAGCAATTGCATGTTGCAAATATAATGAAATATTTTGTTTAATCATGTCGGCACTAAGAAATTACAAAACTATAGGGTTAATGCACTTTCTGCAGGCACGATCACAAGGAACAAAATACATCTATTCTTTATTAGCATCCTAGACAGGAGCTAAAGTTATAATTAAGAACAAAAGGCTACTTGTTGCCATCGAACCAGGAAAGGCACCACCTGAGGGTTTATCTACCTAAAAGACCACTTGTTATAGAATGACTCCAGCATCTAATGATCTAATAAACAAGTATTCTTAACATCTCAACTTTTATGGCCTCGGCATGATGTGCTTAATTAATTTGTTTTTTATTTGTGTCCACTGGGAGCAAATGGGTGACGATCAATTTGGAGTGGATCATGGAGTGGTCAGACAAAAAAGTTTGATAACAGAACTCGAAGGAGTTGGAATGGTGGATAAAGTTAGACCTACCAAGTTAGAGTTCCAAGCCACAAGCTGGATTGACACCATGAAAAGCAACATTTCATAGGTGGGTGTAGTGGTTAGCTGGTGATGCAATGTCATATTAAAGAAAAACACAGCACAAGGTCATGAAAGCAAGTTGACGTCAAACTAGATATGGTATAAATTGCAGCATTTCTTCTGGTATGGTATAAAGAGCCATCGATGGTAATGGTGGGGATCGAACAAACCATGACATCTTGACACCACCAACTTCTTTTTAGCCAATGGCATCCAAAACCAAGACGGGTGTCAATGTGGCATTGAGCCAAGTAGCATAAAAGAAAATCATGAACCCTAGGAATCTTTTCTGAACAGAAACCCAGTTTGATTGCCTCGAGTTCTTTCCTGCTGGAATATACGACATACCTCACAGTGAAGTGGGTTTTTTCTCTTCTTTCCCTCTCGCTGAGACTCTCCATGGATGAGGAAGCAAATAGCATATAAGTGGGAAAGAAAGACGTGGTGAAGGTGTCATCATGCGGATCGTAGATGTGGTAAAAGGTACATAATCTTTTGATGATTTGTCCCCTAAAGTTCAAGCATCTCATCCATCAAACCCATCAGCCTTTGAAGAAGCTACCCCACCCATTTTGGCAATACAAGTGATCGCTTGTGTACCAAATACCAATGAATGAATGCTGCTTAAAGTAGCATTTGGCAAGGGTGGGAAAGGACCATCGTACCTAACTCATAGTCGGGCTTTCTAGGTTTTAAATCCCAATCAGAAATCCCACTCCATCCTTCAAGGATTGGAAGAGAGATTGACCAACAAAAATCTCGAGAGGTTACCGAATCTATATTTCAATAAGAATCTCCAATCAGAAATTTCTATTTTCTAACAGTGTAGTTCTTCTCCATTATTGAGTCCCGTTCCACTTCGAGACCTCCCTGTAAGATATTTCCCCTCTTTTATTGGTCTTAACAAGTGGGAGGAGTGATGAGATGCGGTCCATATGAGCTTCCAAGACGCTAATCCATAGCCCATTAAGAAAAAATAAAAATGTTGACTCCAAGTCCATTCAGATTGAAGGCCGTCCTAGTTAAAACTCAATTGAGTTAGTTTCAAGCCCAGATCCGAAATCCATCTGAAGATACACTCCAGCAATTTGACAAGACAACGTTTGATTTTGCCCTCCCTCGAACTAATCGACTACGATTTCTTGGCACCCACACTGTAGTTTTCCCAAGGAATGATGCTGGTTGAGCACTGAATCGACTAGGTTTAAAATATTTAAGTTTAAACTTGATTTGGATTCGATTCTAGATCGACAAACAGCCAGATTTACCTGCTAGATCAAGCGAGGTTCTTATGGATCACTGAGTCAGCCCATGATTGATAAATAGAGAAGGCGAGTCTCTCAGTCCAAAAAAGTCTAGGATTAACATGATTTGTATGCAGTTTCTTCATCACTGGCATGATCAACTCATTGATAAGGAAGAAAATAAGTGGTAAACAAGATTGCACGAGATATTGCAAATTACTATTATGGGCTAAGTGCTAGGCTGCAACGCATCACTGGGAAAGCTCGGTTACTATTTTGGGCCTTTAAGCTTCTCCAGCGACAGAAAATATAAATTTGTTCGGGCCTCAGTTATTCATATGTCGTAAAATTACGTAATTTGAAAAGGTGGCAGGGCTTGCAGAAAACGAATACCACGTTATTGGTGGAGGATTGATGAGAAATAAATATTATTTTTTGAAATACATGAAAATAATAATTTTTATTATTTTTTTAAGTATTATTTTTTGTATCAATATATTAGAATAATTTCAAATGATAAAAAAATTAAAGGCATTTTCTGAATGCAAAAACAAAAAGTCTTCCTAATACACTTCAATAGCATCGCTCGAGACACAAAGTATTCCACATGGTGTCAAACCGCATGCTTAAAATATTAATAACAAACAGTTTAATTTGGACCGAGTAGTTCGATCGAATGTTTAACATGTTCGGTTCTAAGTTGAACAGATTTCTACTAAATTTTCTGAATATAAGCCAATGCTTTTTATTTGAAAGAAAAGCAAAGAAACACTATCAACCTGAGCCACCATCCTAATAAACCTCAAAGAGAAGGCGTATTTATTATGAGGCGAATATCTTTCCATATTTTTTTCCAATTGATTTAATTAAGCCATCGACACGACACAACTCCATTCGTCGAAGAGGTAAGATTTAGGTTAGAATAAACACGAATAAAGACAATATGTGAATAATAACAAAAACAAAAGATATTGCGTAAATACGATTGAAATAGAGGGACGACTAATATGATCAATTATCAAAACTACAGAGACACAATTTGGATTAATCCCTTAATATACCGGTAAGTTATAACAATATTGTTACCTCAATCATCCCACAAAATTCGAGCATAGTCTAATCCTTTTCCACCAAAAAATAAACTTGTAAGTTTGGATCTCCATCCTCCAAGCTCCAAATTACATGGACTCATAACCATATATGTTTAAAGTAGAGAAGGATGGGGCATGCTTCGTTTCAAGTTCTGGTAAGAAAAAGAAAAAAGAAAACAGCATTAGCATAAAAAGTAAAAAAAAAAACAAAAGCTTACACAGGAAGAAGGGAAACAAGTTCGAGGCATGACAGAGAATCGCATTATAGAACAATCCCAAAGCAATCTTTAACCGAAAATCTTCCTTTTCCCCCTCTCTTTATACATTGCCTGATGCAATGGCTAAACGGGTTACTATTTTCACCTTCTTTGTTTTTTTTATAATGGGCCTCTTTTCTTCTTTTTCAGATAAAAACTGAAGGTAAATCTCTAGATTCCACATGATCATGAATGTCAAACTTAAAGCATGACATGATTGCTCAATTCCATCCTCCACTTATATTCTCTGAACCCTCTCTTTCATTCTTCTTTTTCTCCTTTTGAAGGAAGAAGAATAATTGATGATCAGTGGTCAATGGCCAGTGACCAAATACTAATTTCTCTCTACTGCAATATTTCTTTCTTGTTTCACTTACTTTAAGACGTTCTGCACGGTACAGTATTCCAAAGAAAAGCTTGAGTAAATCGTGAAACTAATATTTCATGTTTCTTTATTGACATTAGCATTTCTTTTTCCCGAGATAGATGAAGACAGACAAGCATTCCTTGCGTGGAAGACAGTTAATAAATAGAACAGGCAATAAAAAGCTTCCTTGGGAGCTAGATGCCCTTGTGAATTTACTATAGAGCATTGACCAAGAATATATATATATATATATATATATAAAATTAAGGCAGCGATGTCCTGTCTATGTGATTAGGTTAAGATGAGAAAACTAATTGGAGTTTAAGCTCTTAGTTGCTACATTACCATTCATATACTTAGTTTTTCTAACACATTGAAAGTTTTTTCTTCTGCTCTTAATTAATATATATAGTGTACGTAACATGTAGTTCTTCAAGATAACAGCTATCCAATATTTAATCAAGGAAAAGTTAAAGGATTTTGGAAGAAAAGGAAAACGAGGCTGATATAGTACTCTAGCTAGTTCTTAATTTGTAGAAATATCAATATCGGAGAAGCCGATATTTTGCTTCAGATCTGTGAGGGGAAAAAAGAAAAGAAAAGAAAAAAGAAGAAATTTCTTCTTTTGCTTCTAATTAACATGAAGTAGCTTAAATCCAACTGAACTTTCAGCTACTTGTGTACATATGTAGCTCCTCTTCCGATAACTCTTACTGAGAACATCTAGATCCTATTGTAGAAGCTAATTAAAGGAGACACTACAATATTATTCCTGCTATTCAATCGCTTCTGGATGCAGCCTTTTGTTATCAATGAGAGGGACTCCAAAAAGCTTCACTGGACTGGATGATTCCTCAGTACTAAATGTTAATGAATGCTTACCCAAAACACCATTCTTAGCCCTTTGAACGCCAAAACAAATGGTTTGATCTTGACATGAAGAACCCGGTTCTATAAGCTTAGGTACTGTATCGTAAGCTTTTTGCTCATAGGGCACTGGTTTTACATGGTTTTGGATGAAGTAGATAATGTCATTATAGAGATTCTTCATGTGGGAGAGTTCTGATAAAAGCATACAGTTTTTCCTTCTCAGTCGCTGGTTATCTTCTGAGAGCGCAGTTAGGATATGATCAACACATGGTTTTGGAGATGGAAATGGAGGATCAATCCAACCAAAACCATGATCTTCTGATTGGAGAAATTGGGTTGCTTGGTCAGGGTAGTGTTGGTGCTGGTGCTGGGATGTTTTTCTCCTGTGAATCTCAGATAGCAACTGCTTTGCTCCTTTTCTGAAGTGCTCATTTGCGAACTCCCATCTGTCAGTTACTACCTTCTTGAATCCCTGCAAGGTATTAACAGAAGAATAAGAGAAAGACAAGAAAAGAAAGATTCTCAAGTAAAACTATTAAACCGATTTCGTGGAAGGTTTATTTAGAAAGCTTTGTCATCTAATACGGATTACCATATATTAAATACTAACACACTATATCTTGGGCAGAATGTTTATGGTTAGCTGGGATTGATATGTCCTTCAGTATTTTGTATTTTGGTGCTCTAGATCATATATAGTGATTATGATCTTCAAAAGAAGAGTGTATAGGATGAAGAGATTTTGAGAGTAAAATTACAGGTAGATGTCATCTTATCTAAAATGAGAACGACCCTACTTGGAAAAACTAAGAAAATCCCTGGAAAAGCAGCCATGTTAGTTAGTACAGCTTTTACCTTGCTGCACATTAATTAGTAGACTCTAGAGATGATTTTAGAAGTACCCTTGACCGAGTGAGATAGAGGGCGAGAGAGAGAGGGAGATGCTCACGTAGGTGTTGAGCTGCCTGACAAAGCTTGAGAAGTTGTTGTGCTTGAAGTAATTGGGGAGGAGTTCCCTGGCAA